TGTGTGTGTGTGTGTGTGTGTGTGTGTGTGTGTGTGTGTGTGTGTGTCAGGAATTGCTGGCAGAGCTGGAGTACTCAGTTCCTGCTCTGACTGAGCTTAAAATAAACTTGTAGAATGTGCCTGCGTGTACCTGGTCTGGACAAATAAAACTGATTTGGAGGGTCTTATTATTTTCTATGAGGTGCTTTAGTCAAAACTTCTCTGGTAAAGTGATAGTTGAATAAATATGAGAAGCCAATTTATGTCTACAAAAGGAGAGAACAGCAATTATGGAGCAGATAGTTGAAAGTGATGGTGGCTGGGGAGAACTCTGGACAGAGGAGAGGAGATAGGCACAGGGAGTGGGAGCCAGGCTCCTGTGACAATTATTCCCATGTTCATTTTGGACAGAAGACAAAGAAGGATTCCATGTCCTCTTTATACTAAATGGAAGCTCTGAAAACCTAGACCATCTAGCTACGAGTCACGCCTAATCCCCTTCCCCCAAAATATCTAGCACAATGTCAAGCATACTGATTAAATTTTTGCATTTCTAATTGCAAAAATATTGATATTGTGGCATCTTACCTTCCAGGCATCATGTTAAACTAAACATGAGTTAAACTCATATCAATACTATGTTCTATAAGCTACTTATATTCCCATTACTGCTCAAAAATGAAAATTCTGGAAGCCCAAATCTTTTGAACAAGGCCATTTATCCAGGAAATGTGGGACAGTGTGACCCTTCATAAGGGGCAATCCTTTTCACGAGCTTACCAAAGCATGGCCATCAAATGACATACAACCTAAATAACCCCATGGTCAAGCAAAGAAGGATAAGAGACAAAAGTCACATGTGGTTCCTACCTCTAAATGTGTTTGTAGTTCTTTGGAAGACTCTTCTCAAGTTCACAAACAAGATTTCTGAGCACCTTCACATGCAGGTTTAGTGTAGGAGGAAACAGAAAATTCAAACATTGAAAACATCTTCAGTCTTTTCCATGATATGACCATGGTTCAGTTCCAAACAGAAACACAGTAGAGGCTGACCTTGTATTGCAAACAGAGAAACCTGGAAGCCACAATGCAAAAGTAGATGGCAATAGTGACACAAAAGGAATCAACATCAAAGCTGAGGAATGACACATAGTCCACTTTAAGGAAAGCAAAGGGGCCCACTTGGCTATAGACTCTTTACCCTTGAATGATTTATTTAATTGAATAGTCAAAGCTGATGTTTTCTAAGAGATGAAATATTCATTACAACAGACAAAATATAAAATTACCTCCATGATCTACATTCATATTTTATTTCATTGAATATCTTTAAGGAAATCACAGAACTTCACTAAAATCTAACATGTTTACCTGAAACCATCATAAAATTAGGCCTCTTTAGGCTGGAGAAATGGCTCAGTGGTTAAGGAAACTTGTTGTTCCCTCAAAGGTGTAGGGCAGACTCCCAGAGCCAACATGATGAGTCACATCCATCCATAACTCCAGTTCCAGAGGAACTGAAACCCTGTTCTGACTTCTGCAATAAAACAAAAAAGGCCTAAATCTCTGTGTAGCTCAGTGCACATATAAGACACATCCAAAGAAAATAGGATGATTCTTTCTATATACAATTCTATATAAAATTAAACAAATTTATAGAATGTTAAATAATTTGGGACTGACTCCTTTCTGATTAAAATTAATAATCCCAATGCATGCATTTATTATCTCCTTCTGTGGGCCAACTTAACTAGAAAGCTGACTCTGGAGCCTGCAGAGATGGTTCAGTGATTAAAGCACTTGCTTTGCAAGCATAAGTAACAAATTTCATATTGAAAAACCTAAGGAAAATATGCACAAGGTCCTCAAGCACAGCTGTAACTCCAATACTGAAGAGAGAGAGCAGAGACAGTTGCATCATTAGGGCTTGCTGGCTGCCAGCTTAGCTGAAAAAAAAAATTAAAAAAAAGAAATAAAACTAAAACAAGAGCTCCAGTTTCAATGAGAGACTTTGTATCAAAGAAACAATACAGAGAGTAATAGAGAAAAATTCTCAAAACCGTTGACCTCATCACAGGCACACATGCATACATATTCACACACAGGTACATACACTTCACACAGTCTCTCCTCTCTGTCTGTCTGTCTGTCTGTCTCTCTCACAGCAGAAACAAAAGGTAACTGACTCTAAAATTCAAATGCAAGATGTTTGTTATGGAGTGCCTTCAGAAGAAACATTTGTGAAAATAAAGGAAAACAGCAAAAGTGGACATCAAGATCAGCTGAGCTATGATATGAATTACTTTGATCATTTTCCATAATCAAGGGTTTAAAATATACCCATGGAAAGAGGAAGAAATAAATGAACTATAATCTCATCTATTACAACAAGAAGTTAACTGCGAAACAAAATTTTAACACAACAACCCTAGAAAACAAATAAAACCTTAAAATAATTTGAACTTAAAATAATTGATGGTAACTGGGCCTAGAGGTAGGAGCGGGTGATCTTAGTTACTCAGATGGCTGAGGTAAGAAAAGTGCAAGTACAAGGCAGCTTGGAAAACTTACCAAGAATTCAAAAACCAACTGAAAAGAAATGTTAAAGGACAAGTAAAGTGACCTAGTGGTAGAGAACTGGCCTACCATGCATAAGGCCCAGGGTCCAATCTGTACTACTACAAACCAGACAAATAAAGCTCACATAGTATAATCTTAGCCATTCCTTAGAGACAGTGTGTATTCTACCTTCCAAATAAATTACCTTACCCTAATCTGTGTCCAACCTGCAGGGTCCATACTACATTCTCTTTACTAACATCCTCATACATTTCTTGGAGGTATAGGAAAATGTAGCAACCTTCATGTGCTTCAGTATTGTCAAGGACGACAAGACACTTAGTCATCAGAGCTATGCTCACCTAATTGCGGAAGTCAGTTCTGGGACTCTATCCAGGCAGGGATCACAAGTTTGGTTGCCTTTAGACTGCCACTGTTTCGCCACCTACAAGAAACAGAGCACACCAGTAAATTGATTGATATTCTCCCACCCTGCCACTGTGGCAGGATGAGGATTTGAAAAGAATTTAAGCCTTGCATTTATTTGTGTTCCAAGGCTTGGATGAGTTTTGCTCCTTTCACTCACTGCTGTATCCCTAGGGCTTGACTTGGGCCTTATGCTTCAAGGGCTCACTGGAAAAAGAAGCATGATGGTAATAACATTTATGAGAGAGAATGGCCCACAGTGTATTCAGCCTGATGCCTGTGAGGACATGCCCTCTGTAATAAGAAGAGCACATTTGAGCTCTGTGGGCACATGAAATTGTGTTTGCGGGTGACACATGGTGTCAAATAGTTTGTGAGATGAGCAGTTCATGGAAGAGGTCACACACACCTTTGCTTGCTTCTGGTGTTCCACATCACCTTCTCAATGGTCCTGGTTTTCGCTCCCCTCACATTTTTGTCTAGCTCTTCCCACTTTCCTTTCTGCCCCTTTCTGAGCCACATTCTTCCCTCAGGCCATTCACTGGAAAGCCTGCTCAGCTCCTGATGGGCAGAGGGTTTGTAGCAAGCAAACCCAGGGCAGCCGCTAGAAGTAGAGTAAAGCGCAGATTCCAAAAGTATCCACAAGGGGACGCCAAGACGCCGATGTTCAAATATTGACACTGGAAGGCGACAGATTTCCTCACTTCTTAAAACATAAGCTTAAAATCAAATATTTAAAAAGCAAATGCCTAATCAGATATTTTGAAGCATTTCACTGTCGCTAAGTAAGCAGACTCCCTCTGTCGCCGCTGAACTCCATTTTGTCTGAATTAAGGGGGTCATGTTTCTGGTCACCTCCCTTTGCTCTCTAGCACTGACCCAGGAAATGTTTCTGATTTTTCAACCTGACCTAGGCCTATCAAAGCTTCTCAAGGAAGGGCAGGAATGAAGAAGGCTGGTGTGAATGCTGTTCTCTGGGTATAATATGGCTGTCAGTACCTTTACCACTGCAGTTGTATTTATTTGCCTGAACCTCAGTCTCCAAATGCTGGGCTTATTAGCATTCACTCACAGGAGTGGGGGCTGGGTCATCTGAGCCTCACCTTAGACCATAGCCCCCTACTCCCTCTTATCACTAGCTGCATATGGTCGCAGCAGGTACTGGAACATGAAGGAGGAGGAGAGAGGACTCCATTCTTGAAGTTTTGGGGAAGTTGCCATCTTCCTTGGGGTGGGACTTTTTACAGGTACAGCTGTTTGAAGTCACCCATACTTCTGTAAGGAGATCAAGTAAAGGCAATTGCAATCTAGTGAAGTCCCTGGTACCACGTATCCCAGGGTCTAATCTTCCAGAGTGCCTTTGCCAAGGTATATGGAGAAATTGCTTGCAAGGCCTGGATGTGTCCCTCTTCTAATAAATAAGAATCAGGGGCTCCTGCTAATTTTAGGCAGTGCTCACTGCTCTAGACACCTCCCAGAAAGAGGGAAACATAGTATATAGAAGACCATAGCTTGGGAAAGCCTCTTGTCCACTCATAAAAAAGCTTGTACTTAGAGCTCAAGAGATGGCACAACAGTTGAGATCTCCCT